CTGATGTACGTCCATCATGCTCCTCAAGCACATCAGCAAACAGTCCAGGATCAACTGGTGTTTCACATTCATGGGCTGAAAATTTCAAAGTTCCCTGGAACGTAATGCCTGCAGGTATACAGAGTGCTATTGAGAATGACCAGAGACCTTCCCCAGCTGACCGACGACAAATGATTAGGATCCTTGCTGATGAAATGAAGAAACATGAGGAAAACCCAACCAGATCACAGTGTCTAACTGTTACTCAGCAAATAGTCAGAAGGTATCCAAAAGTGTTTGCTGACATGGTAGGTGACAGGCAGATTGTGGGTGGATATGCATCTCTTCTGTCACAACTGAAAGTACGAATAGAGCATCTTAATCGAAAAAGTACACTCAGTCATCATATGACACAAAGGAATGAAATTGGAAATACTAAAAAACGAAGTTCCACTGATTCTTATGGCTGTACAAGCTGGCAGCCTATTCTTCCACCTGGTGAAAGTTACGAAAGTATTGAAGTTAAGCGTCAAAGGATGGAGGAGATACATCGTCATGAGGGAATCTCTGGAGCACAGAGAGGGGACATTTGCAAACTCATGGAAGAGACCTATTGCCTCCAGCGTAAGATGATTAATGAAATCCCGTCCCATACCATTGCAGATATAAGAACCAAATGGCCATATCTCTTTGCACAGAGACATATATATGGCCATTTTGAGATGCTTACAGACAAAAAAGTGCTCAGACTTTTGGAATCGTCTATTCAGGAGGGTGGACCAAAAATTGTCCAGTTTTTCAAAGAAAAACCAACTAACGAGGATGTTCGGAACACACTCTCCAGTGATCAAAATGATGTTGCTGCTATGGTCCTACAACTACTTCTCGCACACTTCAAAGAGAAATTAGATGGTCTTATCCTTCTGACAGATGTAAGTAGAGATTATTCAAAATTTCACATTGATTTGCAGCATGTTTTATTGTTTGTTTCTGTTGATGATGGTTGTACTGTTTTCTTTTACATTTTTTTCAGGAATTTGCAACACCTTCGGATGTCCAGCAAGCGTTACCTTTGCCAGAAAGTCCACGCCTTATAATTCTTGGTAAGTAAACCTTAAAGCGATACTTTAAGGCAGGAAACAAAATTACATCATGTTTTTTTATGTTAGTGGAATTGATTTTGAAGGTAAGCTGTCTTAAAGGCAGAGTAGATCATTTGGAAAAGGCTAACATTTGCCTGCTACCAAAGCATTTATACGATCCCTCCCTCTAATGAATCACCATTCAAAGTCACGCCTCCAAAACACATGGGTGCGCTCGTAATTTTGAAAACATGAACAGTTCCCGATCACACGCTGGGTTACGCTAATGGTGAGCTAACGCGTAAAGTGAACACAAACTACATAAGTAACATATGTTATTACACAACCCATCATAATCGGAGCAAACAATGTACCTGCCTGTCTTTTCTCCAGCGTGTAAATGCAACACATGTTTAGCGTAGTATGACCGTTTTTGATCTACTTTTTTTTTTTTTTTTTGTGGCAGTTTCAAGAGCTGTCTTTTTTTTGTTGCTCTTTTGGAACTGCCACTTGGAGGAACAGAGGTACCTGCACTCTGTCCACCATTGTCCTGCTACATGCACATCACACATGAGCACGATTGATAACGTATAATACACATGACGAATCATTGCCCTCGGTCCAATGTTTTTTGATCCTATATCTTTCACACACGATATATATATTATAATAATACCGATGTTTCACTTTACTTATTGATTGCTATCAGGATGTTAAGAGACTTCAAACCAGCATGACAAAAATGTTTCTGGACAGGATTGCCTACCTTGCCTTTATCTTGCTTTAGCATTACCTCCATTTTAGCAAAGAAGCTGTTCCTTTATATGGTGAAAAGTTCACTGCTACAAATGGAAATATACATTATGGTATTTCTTTGTGAAAAAATAACCTTAAGTGTTTGTCTGGTTAAAAGAAAATTAAGTAATGAATGCTGCAGAAAGCTATACTGTAGTTCTTTTAACAGTTATGTTGAATAATTTATAAACATCTAAATAACATAACAGAAAAAGAAACAGTAGGTTTTTTTAGTTCACATGTTTTATTAATCCTTTTTTCATTTTCAGGTCAGTCTCTAAGCAACCAGCGGTGGATGTTGAGCGTGGAAGGTCAGGTTGTGTGTGAAGGAGAGCAGCCCAACATTGTCTCTGGTCTTGCAGCGCTGTTTGCCTCATTTTACAATTTTAACCTCCAGTATCAGGAAGAGGCAGCATGCACCCTTGAGTTTATTCAGAGGTTAGACACTTACGCATTTGCCATTTATATACACAGTGCTGCTCAAAAATGTACACCCCTCTTGCAGAATCTGTAAATAGGTGGATAATTTGGGAAAAATTNGCATTTACTGACAAGAGAGAAGAGGCGGGCACACCGTTGACCTCCGAGTCCTCCAGCAGGTAGGAGACGCGCGCGTTCTGGCAGCAGTCGGCATCATTCGCTTTTACAGTGAAAATGGAAACACCGGGTGTGTTGTTCTCCGTTAAATAAACAGAATAAGACCGGTGTTCAAATACTGGAGCATTATCATTGACATCGGATACTCTGATATGTAACATCTTGTTACTAAAGAGAGAGGGTAAGCCTTGATCCGAAGCTTTAATTGTAATGTTATATTCTGCATTTGTTTCTCGGTTCAAATATTCCTCAGTGTGTAATACAAAATAATTTGTTAAAGATGATTTTATTGCAAACGGACTATGTTCGCTAATCAAACATGTGACCTCTCCATTTTCTCCCGAGTCCAAGTCTTTAACGTTAATAACTGCAACAGTAGTTCCAGGTAAAGCATCTTCAGAAACTGGATTAGTGAATGATGTCAGCGTTATAATGGGGATGTTATCATTCATGTCAATTATTTCAATAATAAGTTCACATGAATCTGTAAAACCACCGTGATCTCTAGCTTCAATGTTTATCTCGTATTTCTGCATAGTTTCAAAATCTACACTTCCACTAACAAATATCTCTCCGGATTTTTCATTTATTTCAAATACGTCACTGTATTTGTCTGTGATATGTCTGAAGGCGTATGTGACTTCACTATTAATGCCTTTATCAGAATCAGTTGCACTTACTTTTGTCACAAACGTTCCTTTGGAAGAGTTTTCTGGGACTTCAGCTCTGTAGTGTTTTTTTGTAAAAACCGGAGCGTTATCATTCACGTCCAAAACCTTTACATGTATTTTCATCGCACCGGACCTCGGTGGGTGACCTCCGTCAATAGCAGTTAAAGTTAAAGACAAGTCCTCCTGTTTCTCTCTGTCTACGGGGGACTGTAGCATCATCTCAATGTAAATCGTTCCATCTGGACGGGTTACCTGTTTCAATACAAAATTATCAGTCGGATTTAGGCTGTAGCTCTGTATGGTATTAATACCGACATCGGGATCATAAGCGCTGTCCAGCATAAATCGCGCACCGGTCAGCGCCGATTCACTAATCTCAATATTTATTTCATCTTTTGGAAATGCTGGGGCATGGTCATTAATATCCATTATTTCTATAGTAATCCTGTACAATTCAATTGGAATTTCGAGAATAATTTCAGAATTAAAACTACATGGAGATCTTTTATTACAAACCGTCTCCCTGTCTATTCTCTCATTGACCACCAGTATTCCTTTGTCTGTGTTCAGCTCCACGTACCGACTGCTGTCTCCGGCAACGATCCGAGCTCGGCCGCTTTTCAGCCTTTTAACGTCAATCCCCAAATCCGCAGCGATATTGCCGATGACGGAGCCTTTCACCATCTCCTCCGGAATAGAGTATCGCATTTGTCCATGGGTTACATAAGAAAACCAAAGGAAAATTATCCAGAATCGTACTTGCCCGTTTTCAGTGCTCGTTATTTTCCCGATACCCATTTCTCCGTTTCAGTTTTCGTATTAAAATCCCAAGGACGTCTTATAAAATATGAAAAATCATTCTGCCAAATCAGCCCTCTGATTACATAGCAATAACCATGCAGATGTTAAATCCTTTTTCCGAATAGAGACCCGCGATATACGATCACTGAGCTCTTTCCTCCACCCTTTTCTGATGAAATGGCCCGGTACTGTACACAAACTGCGCCTGGATCTCAGAGAGCCGCAGTAATAAGGGAGTCAGATGGATCCCGCCGCAGCTCGTCACCTTATAGCCAACAGCGGCCCTTACAGTCCTGCGAGGGAAACGCTGCCACGTTCTCTGTTCGCAACACTTTCTATCCTGTAGTCTCTGGCTGTGACAACATACAATCCAGGTACTAAATTTCATGAACTTGCTATTCATTGAATATAGGCCAGTTACTTTGCTGAATTGCCTATTACTTTTTGCTTCATTGATAAAGAAACTAGAAATGATACAATACTTCCTTTGAAGCATGAGGTAAGATTTTTTTCCCAGTCCATCCTGTGTTCAACTATGGGGATGGATCACTGTGTTTCCTCTTACTTTTTATAGACTAGAATTGTACATGCTGAACTATTTGTCAAAGTGTATTCTTGTTTTTGGTATGGGTATAGTGTAGGATCTAGGTATTTTTTTCTTTTCAGCAAGCTTTTCAACAAGACCTGCCTTGTGAAAATATTAATACAGCATGTTCAAAAAAAATTTAGTTGACCTATAATGTTTTGTTGTAACTTAATAAAAAACAACCATACTGCTATCAGAAACATTACATTTCAACCAATCATAATAATTAGCAAGAATTATAATTCTTTAGTGACAGGAAGACATAAAAGCATGCATGCTAAGGTCATACATTTCTACATAACAAGCATGTTCAGTGAACCTTCGATGGTGCATTGAGAGGCGAGCAGAGGATGTGATATTTGACTACTGATGAGTTGCATCTGGAAAGTGGTGGAGGGATGTCTTGTTAAAAAGGGGGCTGGGACAGATAGAGGGGGACCGGGTTGATTCGCGAGGGGGGGGCACTGGTGTGTGTTTGGAGAGAAACCATGCCGTCTATCCGTGGCTGATCTGCTTTGGGGAGCGCAGTGTGCCCGTCGCTGATGTTAGGTCGGCCGCGGGTGAAGACAGCGAGGCACGTACATGGTAGGGGGTAAGTTAGTCTTGTGCTGTCTATAGGGAGACGCGGAGCGTATCAGGCACTGAGAGCTGTGACTGTGTGGCGGTACCACGGCACAGAACTCCTACTGTCACGGGAGAAGAACGGGGAGGCTGGTATTGCCTCTGTCTCATGTGTCTGGACCTCCCCAGCTAAAATATAAGAAGGAGGTGGCAGCGGTACCAGTGGACCTGTTTAACTGTAGCGCCCTTTACCTACTTCTGGGTACGCAAAACATATTACAGTATCTATACATTATCCCCATTATATATTTTCTTTTAAATGTTTTTATTTTCCATCTCTTTTGAGGTCTCCTAATATACTGTAATACCAGGAGTTTGTGGACATCTCTAGTTATTAGAAAAGTCGGCTAATTAAGCCACAACCATGGCTGACGCAGGTGTGAAATTAAGCAAACAACCGAGACCAAACACTGGCAGCAGGATGTGAGGTTGTACAGAACAGATCAGTGACTTTATACTTCACAGAAACATAAGACAAACAAATCCCACAAATCAGTTTACTAAATTTAGTAAATGGATGCACTGAGCGCAGTGAGCGTTCTGGAATCTACGAGTAAGACATAATACCAAAATGACAGCTAATCAGACAAAATAGTCTGCAGGAACTGGAAAACAACAACAAAAATAATATTAACTGTGGGGTCAATTTTGCCATCCGGCGCGTGAGTTAAAAAATGTAAACAAACAGTATAAAATGTTAGAACTATATGAATATAAAATGATGCAACACAAGAAACATTATTAATGATATTAGGCCTTTTTCACGGTATTAGGAAAATGGCGGCAAATACGTAGTGACGATTCAAAAGTAGACTTCTAACTTACCAAATCCGTCTCATCAAAAATGCTTTTTTCATTCCTTGTGCACTTCATTGTTTCGGCAGACTTGGGATCCATTATTAAAATGTTCTGACTACTAGGTCTGACAAACTTACAGTCACTCTTCCTGGAGTCAGTCGTCATATACACCTCGTAGTTGTGCATATGCTGTAAAGTCCCTGTACCTCCGGCGTCTGAGTAAAGTGTTGGATAATACGGTATAACTGGCAGATTGGACTGATAAAAGATGCGTGATTGTCTCCATCTATAGATTTTGACAGATATAATAACTACTAAAGATAAAATGAAGAGGAAGGACACTACAGCCAGAGCCAGAACTAAATAAAAAGTCAGGTTGTCATTGTAATCCTTATCGTGAGTATTGTCACTGAATTCCGAGAGTACTTCAGGGAAGCTGTCCGCCACCATCACATTAACGTTGACTGTAGCTGAGCGAGACGGCTGTCCGTTGTCCTCCACAATAACAGTAAGTCTTTGTTTCATGGCGTCTTTATCACTGACCGGGCGTATAGTTCTGATTTCCCCGTTTTGTGAGCCCACTTCAAACAGCGCCCTGTCTGTCGCTTTCTGCAGTTTATATGAGAGCCAGGCATTCTGTCCAGAGTCCACATCGACGGCCACCACTTTAGTGACAAGATAGCCCACATCAGCTGAACGAGGCACCATCTCAGCCACTGAGGAGCCACCGGTCTGTGCTGGGTAGAGGATCTGAGGCGCGTTGTCGTTCTGGTCCTGGATGATAATGCGAACTGTAGCATTTCCACTTAATGGAGGTGAGCCCGCGTCTTGAGCTCTCACTTTAACTTGAAACTCTTTAAGTTTCTCATAATCGAAAGAATGCACGGCGTGAATAACCCCGTTTTCGGCATTTACTGACACGAGAGAAGAGGCGGGCACACCGTTGACCTCCGAGTCCTCCAGCAGGTAGGAGACGCGCGCGTTCTGGCAGCAGTCGGCATCATTCGCTTTTACAGTGAAAATGGAAACACCGGGTGTGTTGTTCTCCGTTAAGTAAACACAGTAAGACCGTTGTTCAAATAGTGGTGCATTATCATTAACATCAGATACTCTGATATGTAACATCTTGTTACTAAAGAGAGAGTTTGAGCCGTGGTCCGTAGCTTTAATTGTAATGTTATATTCTGCATTTGTTTCACGGTTCAAATATTCCTCAGTTTGTAATACAAAATAATTTGTTAAAGATGATTTTATTACAAACGGGCTATTTTCGCTGATCACACATGTGACTTCGCCATTTTCTCCCGAGTCCAAGTCTTTAACGTTAATAACTGCAACAGTAGTTCCGGGTAAAGCGTCTTCAGAAACTGGATTAGTGAATGATGTTAACGTTATAATAGGAATATTATCGTTCACGTCGATTATATCAATAATAAGTTCACACGAATCTGTAAAACCACCGTGATCTCTAGCTTCGACGTTTATTTTATATTTCTGCATACTTTCAAAATCTACACTTCCACGAACAAAAATCTCTCCGGATTTTTCATTTATTTCAAATACGTCACTGTGTTTGTCTGTGATATGTCTGAAGGCGTAGGTGACTTCACTATTAATGCCTTTATCAGAATCAGTTGCACTTACTTTTGTCACAAACGTCCCTTTGGAAGAGTTTTCTGGAACTTCGGCTTTGTAATGTTTTTTTGTAAAAACTGGAGCGTTATCATTTGCATCCAGAACCTTTACATTTATTTTCATCGCACCGGACCTCGGTGGGTGACCTCCGTCTACAGCAGTCAATGTTAGAGACAAGTCCTCCTGTTTCTCTCTGTCTACGGGGGATTGTAACATCATCTCTATGTATATCGTACCATCAGGCTGGGTAGCCTGTTTCAACACAAAATTATCAGTCGGATTTAGACTGTAGCTCTGTATAGTATTAATACCGACATCGGGATCATAAGCGCTGTCCAGCAAAAACCGCGCACCGGGCAGCGCCGTCTCACTAATCTCTATACTTATTTCATCTTTTGGAAATGCTGGAGAATGATCATTAATATCCATTATTTCTATAATAATCCTATATAATTCGATTGGATTTTCGAGAATAATTTCAGTATTGAAACTACACGGAGACCTTTGATTACAAACCATCTCCCTGTCTATTCTCTCATTGACCACCAGTATTCCTTTGTCTGTGTTCAGCTCCACGTACCGACTGCTGTCTCCGGCAACGATCCGAGCTCGGCCGCTTTTCAGCCTTTTATCGTCAATCCCCAAATCCGCAGCGACGT